GGGTACAGATCGGAGAGTGATGTACCGATGATAAGCCACGAGATGTAGTCGACTCGGGGGAGTTCTTTCTGATTCATCCGATGCCCCGCGTTTCTCGCCGCGGCTTTAAGCCTTGTCAGCGTCCGGATCTCGAGGTGAGGACAAGCCCTGTTGACGAGAGGTGTGAGATCCCGTCGTGAGATGTCGAGCAACCTCTGATATTCGCCCAGGATCTCGAACCTCGCTGATTGCCTTGAAACGCTTAATGAGCGGTCACGAAAGATAAGCATTCTACGAATCTCCGTTCGCCGATTTCCTTTTCTTTTCTTTTTCTTTTTTTTTTTTTTTTTTTTTTTTTTTTTTTTTGCCACTCCTCGGTGTTTCGAGTACAAAGACAAACGGTTTTGCATCTCTTGCGGTATTTTCGCGCGCCCGATTGTTTTATGCGAGTCGAAGAGTTTAGTTCCGCCCCCCCTCCTCCTCAGGAAGGAAAACAGTGTCTTGGCCGAGGAAAGAAATGAAAAAAGATTGTACAAGTGCTTGAAATTGTTTTGTTGTGCTTTTGTGAAAGTTTTTTGTTACTCGTCGAGTAGTGATCAAAATTGTGCGCGATCAAGATCGCGAAGAGGAAGTTTCTTTCTTTTTTTTTTTTTTTTTTCTTCTAAATAAAAATCTCCGAAAATATATATATATATATAAATTTTTAAACGTTATTACGATTATATTAAAGTAAAAGTTTTCGATTTCGAGTAAATAAATAAGTTTATTATTAATAATTATTAAAATAAACGGACAATCATTTCATTGATGCGACTCGAGAATATAAAAAGATGCAACAGCAATATGATCAACGACACGATATCACCGCTGATTGTTGTTACCAACAATGGATCTCTCATCATCAGAGCCAGCACGGTCAACCCGTGACGAATTTACCGTCTCCGATGCAACAAATGGAAGGTAGTTTCATTGTGCGCGTTCCTTCGAAATTTCCCCCCTTCTCCTTTAATTAATCGTTATCATCGTTTATTTAGCATGTTTACAATCGGCGGGAAGGGTGAAGCGATCCCGCAGCCCGAATCTGTCGAAGGGATCGTTGACTGCCCAACCAACGAATTCCACTCCCGTCTCCTCGTCGGCCGCCGTCGAGTCCCAGCGCAACGATAGCAACAACAACAATCATCATCACGGCGATCATCATCCGACCGAGAACGGCGCGAATTCGTCGGAGGAGATTTGCTCGAAGAGGCCTCTTCACCCCGCCCTTGTAGGCGCCGGGGCCGCCCTCGAAGCGAAACCACTTTGGGAAGAGTTTCATCAATTGGGGACGGAAATGATCGTCACCAAGGCTGGAAGAAGGATGTTTCCTACTTTCCAGGTATTAACCCTTTCACCGAGCGAAAAATGTGCACGGCACTGCGAGAAAGATCGTTGCGGATCGACCTCGGTGTTTATTGAAAAAAAAAAAAAAAAAAAAAGAAAAAAAAAAAACTTTCCTCGAAACGGGATATTTATAACTTCTAAACACGCTCGCATTTAATTACACTTTGGAACTCAAATAACGTTACGGAATATAATAATAATAATAAATGTCAATAATGGTATTGCGAGGAAACAAACGATAAAAACAAAATACCGATGCAACTACGTCTCGAGAGAAAGATAGTCGATAAAGAATAATTCGAGTCGCTCGTTATGCGTATTATGGTCGTCAGTGGTATTTTATGGAGAGCGTATTATAAGAATAAAAGTTTGCTTCTATAATACGTATATATAAATGTATAAATATTTAATACTTGCAGTGTCGATTCTTCGGATTGGATCCCGCCACCGATTACCTCCTCGTCATGGATTTCGTACCCTGCGACGACAAGAGGTACAGATACGCTTTCCACAGCAGCGCTTGGGTGGTTGCCGGCCGAGCCGATCCGGTCTCGCCCCCGAGGATTCACGTACACCCTGACAGCCCCGCGAGCGGAGCTCACTGGATGAAGCAACCGGTCTCCTTCGATAAGTTGAAACTCACCAACAATCAGCTCGACGACAATGGGCACGTAAGTTGATGATTTAATAACCACGATTACGATATTTTTTTTTTTTTTTAAATTTATTAAATTTCGTCGAGAAATGTTATGGAAATGTTTCTAAAATATTAAAATCGATCTGGAAATCGATTTGAAACAATGGTTTTTAACGCGTTAAAAATAGAGAAACACCTGGGCAATAAAATAGAACGAGGGACAGCGAGAGAAGTTTTCACGGCGGTATCGCGTTCCATGTGTTTGTCGTTTACGGACGAGTTCGCCTTAATTGACCTGAGATACGAGCCTGCCTACCGCGAGCAATTACAACGGTGGAACCTACACGTTGTTAATTTTTATGAGATAATTCGTCTTTTAATGTCTCGTCCTTCCTTCTCTTC